CCGTTTCATTCTGCTGTTTTATTCGGCCGTTTCATTCTGCTGTTTCAATCTGTTGTTTCAGTCTGATATTTCATTCAGTTGTTTCACTCTGCTGTTTCATTGTGCTGTTTCACTCTGTTGTTTCATTCTGTTGTTTCATTTGACTGTTTCATTCTGCTGTTTCATTCGGACGCCAAATGCTTCTCACGCTAGACTTTCTGGTATTGTCAGAAATATTTTTCGAATTCAATACAAATGAAAAAAAAAGATTGTCTCCGTTACCTTGGATTAAAATATTGTATCTATAACTCAATGGTTGTCATGGCCGCCTCCAATCGTTCAATACACGCCTGAGGAATTAAATGTCAAGTCTTATTCGTTTTTCCATAAAATTTCCAAATTTATGTTCACTCTAACATTGAACTGTTGCATATTATTTTCTTAGTTGTTATTTACTTTGGTTTTGTTTCTTCAAAATACTCGTCATTGTTTTTGTTCTTTTTAAATTATTAATTTATTTGTTTAAGATTTGTTTATTTTGGAGTTCAATTCCAGCCAGAGCCCAGTCAAGCAAAAACACCACCAGCACCCCGGGTAGATGGGACTCGTTAACCTTGGATGGCAACTCATCTAAGAGAAGGAGACTCTGAAATTAAACCCGGAGTCCCGAAAGGCGGATAAAATTGACACAATGAAACATTTCGACAACTCCTGCGACGTCACTGGTCAAGCTGTATCATGATGCAATGATGTTCCCTTGGGTTGTCCAAGCGGCATGGAGAGAGGCGATTTGCTGTTGGGAACCAGCTTACAATCCTTGAAGAATAATCCCAGGCCATGTGGATTTCGTCCTCCGAAGCCCACTCCATCGTTACATTGTATATATATATATATATTGTTTACTACATTTCTAACAATTGAATGTTGAAGTGAGCGAACTGTAACAATAAAAAACATTAGCGCAGCTAGGGTGTCACCCTGTGCGGTCAATTCTTGTGTCTCCTTCCCCGGACATCCAAGATGCACTGCTCCTTGTTAAAATAAGTCAACATTATAACAATGACAAGAAATAAAAATGAAATAATGGAAGGTCGGGAGGTCAAAGGTCAGTGTATTTAAGAACTGTAACAGCGCTACGTTATAGTTATGTTTACATTAAATTTACTTTATTTAAAATGTTCATATCCTTGTCTTCAAAGCCGCAAACCTTTCAATCACTTGATCAAAATCAATGTCCTTCACAGTATAACTTCCTATTGATAGCAGAGCCACATGCGAAAACCTAGACTGTCCCATGGTGGATCGTAAATATTTTTCGATAAGCCTTAGTTTTGAAAAGATCCGCTCACACGAAGCCACATGCACAGGGATCTTAAGAAACAATTGAGAAGGCTTAGCGAGAGTACGGGAAGAGATTCTATGAAGTCCCATTCAGCTATAAATTTCAAAACATCAAATACTGACCAGTCAATGACTTTGTGAAATTCAATATAACCTGCCTATAGGTGTCTTTCTAAGCCTTAATGTTTCTTTTAAAAGATCATCTTCTGATAATTAAAAATAGAAAAGGTTAATTTTGAAACGGACATCAATAACTATTCTTCACTTGCTGATAGTAGACTCTTGGGTTGAACAGCCCAAAACATATCTGCTACTTTCTTGATCGAAGATGATCTGATCTGGGGTTCGGAATGAAAGCTCTCAATACACTCCAACATTTACATAATTTTTTTTTCAGGCAGAAAGAGTACATCCTTTATTAACTGTTCTCCTGCATTCTCTTCTTAAACCTTAATCATCTTTCTACAGAAATTCCAGATTTGTCTTATTTTCAAAGTGCCTTTTCAATAGCATGTTCCACCAAGTTACGGCGCTTCTTGTGAAGACAGGGCCGGATTAAGCCATCTTGGTGCCCTATGCACAAACCCACATGGGTGCCCCCTACTGCCCCGGGCCCCCGATCCTCCACTGACCGCTGGTATGTTCAATATTATGCAAAAAACTAACAAAGAAAAACAGTTGTGAGGGTAAACACATATGTTTGTACTACTATCACTCATATAAGATGTACAATAAGGTATTTCTGAATTAAAATTAATAGTTAATTAATTTTGTAATAATAGTAGACAAAAATATTGTAACTTTTTTGATAGAAAAGAAAGTCAGAGAGAGAACACATTTACATTTTAAAGTTCATTTTTTTCTAGATTTAAGCCTGGCAAAGTTTTTGAGCACATCATCAAAGTTAATTTTGCTCAACAAGTCTGCCTCAATCATCAGCAAAGATAAGGAATCAAGCCTTTCTTGTTTCAATGTCGATCTACTTGGATTTTTTTTGTACGTTTCAACTGAGAAAAAGAGCGCTCAGTTGAACAGTTCGTAACCATTAATGTTAAAAATATGCGCAAGGCGAGTTCAACATTTGGAAAAGCACACTCGATGTTGTCTCTAACTATTACTTTGTAGAGTTCTGCATGAATGAACGTGATGTTCTCAGATTTTGATTCACGAAACTTGTGGTGTATATAAGAGTAGAGCTGTTGTAGTTCAGTATATAAATTATTGTTCAGATCTTCAGGATGAGCATTTATTAGTCCTTCACAACACTGAGATGTTTGAGGTACATCGACCAAACAAGAAAATCGAACTGCTAGATCATTATATACCTGTCCTCGTCTACTCATCTGTCTCAAGTTTGTCAACAATTGTGTAGAAAGCAGATATACGAAATGTGTCTCTGGCATTCTGAGATATCTCAGAGGCATCACCATCAATGACCACTGTCTTTCGTTTACGATTACTGGTCAAAGTTGACTTACAATCCATACCTGGTGTTATTTCTTTTGCAGCTCTTTCAAATCTTTCAAATTCATTCCTAGATTCTTGCAAGTGATCTGCTAATGAAGAATACAAATCAGCACACGTTTTCAAGTTCATGTGCTCATTTTGTAGAGCTTGACTGACCCAGTGAAATTGTTGTAACACCTCTTCCCAAAAGAAAAGCATGAAAGCAAATTGTAATTCTTGCATCTTCTTTGCAATGTTTTCTGCTTCTCTTCTGGTGTCCCCTTCTGTGACTGGTCACCTTGTAAACATTCTAACGCTTCTATAATCTGAGGATGAGACTTTAGAATGGCTTCAGTTGCAACAGCATGTGCTTCCCATCTGGTATCGGAAAGGGACTTTACCAGTTTTTCACTCACAAGGCATCCTTTCAGAATCTTCCATCTTTTATATTATAGATAGAAAGTATAAAGTTGCACTGTATGGAAGAAGTTTACTGCCTCTAAACAAGAGTCAATGGCACTTCTGCCTACCAGATTTAGTGAATGGGCAGCACAGGGTATGTATTGTAAGAGACCTTGCTTACTATCTGACAAACTTCATCTAGATCTGGTACTCAATAAGTAAACAACTCCGGTGATACATTTGATCATTAAACTCGTGTTCTTTATTTGATCTGTCACTTGCTTACACTTTCACTCATCTCCCAACTCTGACTTCTCCCTGCTCTC